AGTGGCCCCTATGTAACTGACTGGATGAACCTTTGGGACAGAATAATTTAATATTTCCCACTTGGATGCCAAGATTTTTCTGCCAAACACAGATGTTCTTAGTGCCATCATTCACCTTTAGCTCATTCTACCTAGCACTATTAAAAGCCATCTCATTTGGCTACTTCATGTCTTCCCTAGAACCAGCTGCTTTGACCTTGGCATCTAAGGGAGCACAGGATTTGGGTCTCCTTCTCTGCCACATCAGTAGGCCGTGTTTCTAGTTCATCCAGGCACACCGTCAACTTGTGATAGGGCACAATCTCATTTTATTTCATTTTCTAGAATGGAATTTGCTATTCTACCCACTCTGATTATCACAGTGGATTTTTTTAAAGAGAGAGAGAATTAGAACCTCTGAATCAATATTATTAAGATCATATGATCTGATGCATCAATTATTTATATCTATGGACTCAAAGTTAATAATATATCAAGAGGCTTCGTTTATGAGGTCTAATCACTCTCCATTGAGCGAAATCCTGATCCATGGTCAAATAACTGAAGGGACGCCTGCCCGTCGCTCCTGGAGAACATCAGGAAGAGAGATGCTGCTCTCCAGATTGTGGGGAAGAGATGTGGCAGAGTTTTGAGGAAATAGTCGTTGGATCAGACATTTGAACGTCGCTCTTACATTTTCTGCCATACCTGTATTCTGACATAATATTTTTCTTTACATCATCTCTTCTATTTATGTTTCCACTGAAGATGGAAAAGCTGGTCCATCGATTATGAGTAGTTAAGACACAAAGGCATAGCTAATGCTCTAAAGGAGCACATCCTCCTGGCTCCTGCGAGAGAGTTGTCACAAAACACTGCTGGGGGCTTTCTCTGACTCACAGAGGCACTGAGAAGGTACCTGGCCGACAGGTCACAGTCATGGGTCCGAACTTCTTGATTAAGTGGAGCCGATTTATCAGCAAGTTTAGCTTTTCTTGCTTTCTCCATCCAAGGTCAGGCAGTGATCTGGGTAAACTGATCTGAAACGTGGGGGGGCTGCCCAAAGGGAACAGGTTCAGAAGGCATTGATGGCACCTCTCAACTCCTGAGAGGCCAGGTCTCAGCACAGCTTTATTTTAAAGAGGGTGTGACTGTAATCTCCCACCTGGCCCTTCTGTGTGTGTGTGTGTGTGTGTGTGTGTGTGTGTGTGTGTGTGTGTTTCTCAATTGGTGCAGAATTCTGAAGGTGTAATTTAGTGAATCCCTCGAACTGAAACAAATATTCCCTGTCCAGTTGCTGATCAGATGATTCCAACTCATGGAAACTCCATGTGTATTAGACTAAAACTACTCCTTGTGGTTTTCCCTGGCTGATTTTTCTGAAGTAGACCACCAGGCCTTTCATCTGAGGTGCCTCTGGATGAATTGAAACCTCTAACCTTTCGGTCAACAGCCGAGAGTGTCAATTATCTTCACCATCCAGGGACATCTCAGAGAATATTAACAGATTTTAAAAATTGATGCACCTAAAATCCTCTGTGTACCAACAATGAGGCATTTATCTTATCTCAGATATACTGAAAATGGATTGTGGTTGAGGAAGGTTAAAAAAGTGTGCTACTTTTCTCAAATATATTTTACTTTGAGTTAACTCTACTGGACTCTATCCAAAGAATTGATTACACTACTTCTTAATCACTGGGATGCACAAAATTGGCAGAACAAAGCAATCTAGAAATCAAATGACTCCTCCAGGATCAGGGTGGTATGCACAACATTTTAAAATTAATACAACACTAACTCTTACCAACCCAAGGATATTTCAGCTATACGCAACAAGCCAGCCTCCTTCAGTGTGGAACAAAGCTCACCAAGGTATCACAGCAGCAGCAGCAGCAGCACTGGAAGCTAGCGAGAAATGCACAGTCACAACCCCCACTCCTGACCTGCTGGATCTGAATCAGCATTTTCACCAGCTCTCGGGCGATTCATGTGTACACAGGTGTGAGGAGCACCAAGCAGTTCTGCTTTTCTCAAAGCATCTGGGTAACCGGAGTCTGCAGGTCCCACTTTGAGGAGTGAGGCTCTCAAAGCTGTGGAGTGGCTGGATAAAAATCTCCCAGACATACCTGTGGAAAGTGATTTGATGATACCTAAAACAGATGGAAATTGAGTTACACACGACCCAGCAATCCCCTACTGGGAATATACCCAGGAGAAATAAGAAACAGGCCGTGACCAGACATCTGCTCCCCAATGTTCATCGCTGCTCAGTTTACAATCACAAAAAAATTGGAAACAACCTAACTTTCCAGCAAGAGATGAATGGATTTTTAAAAATCTGCTATATACACACAGTGGAAGACTATGCATCCCTAAAAATGGTGATGAAATGATGAAGCACCTCATCTCGTGGAAAGAGTTGGAGGATTTTATGCTGAGTGTACTTAGCCAAGCACAAAAGGCCAAGTACAACATGAGTCCACTGAGGTAGGTTCAAACAACAGAATGGGCATAAGGAAAAATGTGCACAACCCACAATTTCCCGGCTGAGGACCAGATATTCTGGCAAGAGCCAGACCAAACCCAAGGGTTCATATGTCATCAACAACAGCTGCAGAGAGCACCTGTGCTGAAAGGTACCTTCTCCTCCACCTTTAAGGCCCACAGAGGGGTGGGGAAAGAAAAACACAGGCAATGGGAAGTCAGGGCACTAACCCACCCAAAGGGAGGGTGTTGTTTATGTCTCCACAGGAAAGGGAGAGGAGAGTAGACTTTATTCCGGTGTGCCAGTCCTTGAGGGAGATGTTCCTGCTCAGAGCAGCTTGTTCGCAGAGAGGACTGCGAGCCAGCCTCGGCCCTAGACATGATGTGCTCTCCCTAGATAGCAGCTCTGCAGAGGACAGCCCTGAAAATACCCAATATACCTATGTATATATATATATGAATATGTGTGTATTTGTTTATATATGCATGGATATGTAAATGCAATAAGGAAGCAGATGGACTTTGGATTTCTACTGAAATCTTACCTCAGTATAAGAATGAATTGTTCTAATAGTGTGGCATCGTATGCCCACCTTCCTTACACCATCGCTGGAGACAAAAATGGGTGCATAAGTAAATGTGCTGAAGAAAGCTGATGGTGCCCGGCTATCGAAAGCTATAGTATCTGGGGTCTTAAAGACTTGTACTTAAGCAATCGGCCATCTAGCAGGGAAGCAACAAAGCCCACATGGGAGAAACACCTCAGCCTGTGTGATCATGAGGTATCAACAGGAAGAGGTATCAGAAGTTCAAAAAACATGCAAGCAAATCTATATGTAGGGGAGTGGATGTAGTGGAGACCCAAAATCCACTAGCAAGACAATTGGACAGTCCCTCTTAGAAGGGCATCATAGAACAGAGGATAAATCCAGGGTGCAGCATGGCACTGATGAACCACCTATCTATTATCTAGTTCTTTAAGATTTCTCCCCTACTATTATGGTCCCTATGCGATATACCTCATTGGTCATGTTAAACTTGTGTATGTTCATTGTACAATTAAGATCACTCCATGCATGGTAGTCAGGATAGATGACCCTTCAGAGACAGTAACAAGAGTAAGGGTTTCCTGAGGGTATGGGAAGTGAGGCGGAGTGGTGGGACGGGGGGAGGGGAGGAAGGGGGCAGAGAGAGGGGAGTTGATAGCATTGATGATTATATAACTCCATCCAATGGGATTGAACAACAGAACTGTATGGGAAGGGAAGGGTATCTTGAAGTGAGTAAGATGTGTCAATAAAAATATTGATTAAAAAAAATCTCACAGACATCTGAGCTAAGTGTGCACACCCACCCATCCACTACCCACAAGATGCTTTCCAATGGCTAGGGTAAGAGCCACAGTGTCCTAGACCCCATTTTGGATTTCGGAGGGAGGGGGAATCCCTTTAACAGCATTAGCTCCATGTTCCATTGGTAGAAAGCAAGCCACTTCCAGAAGGATTCGTTTAAGCAGTCAAAGGGGTGATATCGCCCCCTGGGGGAAGCGCTGGTATTGTCCAAGAGGGAGCAAAAACTGTCTACACTTTAGCCTGGATTGTGGACTAGAGTATGAACGTTTTCATTGTCAAGTGGAGGCTGAGGGTTTTTTTGTTTGTTTTCTAAGGATTGGTAGGTCAAATAAGTTTGGGAACCTCTGCTTTCGAGGGTCCTTGAGTAATTTTCTCTGAGCACTGAAATCAGAATCAATGCTGATGGAAGCAGCAGTCAAGAGATCAAAAGATGAGTTGCATTAGGCAAATCTGCTACACAAGACCTCTTTAGAGTGTTGAAAAGAAAGCGTGTTAATCTGAGGAGTAAGTGGCACCTGACCCAGGCCATGGTATTCTCCATTGCCTCATATGCATGTGAAAGTTAGACATGAAATAAGGAAGACCGAAGAAGGATCCTTGCATTTGAATTATGATGCTGTAGAGGAATATTGGACGTGCCATGGACTGCTAAACAGACAAACCAAGCTGTCTTCTCAAAAGTACGGCCAGAGTGTTATTTATAGGCAAGGACGGCGAGACTTCATCTCACATACTTTGGACAAGTTGTCAGAAGAGACCAGTACATGGAGAAGAGCGTCATCCAGGTAAAGTAGAGGAACAGCCGAGAAGAATAAGGCACTCAGCAAGATGGGTTGACCCCATGGCTATAACCACGGGCTAATGCACACGAACACTTGTGAGGACGGTGCAGGACCTGGCAGCATTCTGCTCTGTTGAGTTAGATAAGGTTGCTATGGGTCAGAATCAATGTAATGGCACTTAACAACAACTACAACATTGAGGCCTTTAACTATAAAAGAAGAGATAGGTCTGCTGCCAAAATATATGTTCAATGAATACTCATACGCCAAATAATAACCCCAAAGTTCCAACTCGCTGCCATTCAGTCAATGCTAACACATAGTGACTCCCTGTGATTTTCTGAGACTGTAACTGTTTATAGGAATAGAAAGTCGTCTTTTTCCTGAAGAGCTGCTTGTGGTTTTGAACTGCCCACCATGTGGATCACAGCCCAACGCATAGTCACTAGACTGCCAGGCTCCTTATATGCCAAATAATAGCATCTGTTAAACCTCTGCAGTAGATGTGACGATATCTGTTATATTATTTCCTGTAATTTTGAAATTAAAAAAATAACAAAATAATTCAGCAAAAGTAGTTCTCGTTAGAAGTGATGGAAAGATTTGGAAATGGCTAATGGTGATGACTCAACAATACGCCCCTGATTGTACATGTAAAAAAAAATGCTGAAATGGCAGGTGTTTTCACAAAAACCAAGCAAATAAACAGCTATAGGTGCCCTGTGAGATTTTAATTGCAAGAGAAATAAAACAAAAATCGTTCCTGGTTTCACAACCCAGACAGACGCTTTTTCTAATCAAAAGGGAAATTTTAAAAGTCTGTATTTTTATTATGACTATTTAAATGCAAGCCTTTAATTCCTCTTCTTGAAAAATCCTAATGAGTCACAGAATGTAAATAGAACTGGGCAGATTGAGAGAGACAATTGTCAGCTTTGGAAAACAGGGAAGCTTGCCTGCTTGGGCCACTCTAAAGAGGAACTACCACAAGGGCAGGAAGAGGCTAGGTAACAGGTTAAAGACAGGGATAGCATCAGGGCTGGCCCATGGAGCTACTGTCCCTGGCAATTACCCTGGCCAGCTTGCCAAGTCAAGCAGAAGCACTTCCGCAGCGTGCACCTAATGAGCCCATTTAGAGGAGAGGCCAGTGTCCTAGCTAACATTTGCTACCAAAATAAACTCCGAAGGGAAACTGCTTTGCCCAGCAGGAAACTTCTCTTCTGCAACGCTGACTCTTAGAAGCTTCCTTCCCACTCCTCCCGGGCAACCGAAACCCCAGTCCAGCAAAATCAAACTGCAAAAATACAAGCTTCCCCATCCCCTCTCTGCCTGAAACAAAAATATCGAGCACTTTCTCTGACAGAACCCACTTTTCAAAACTTCCTTCTGTAAGAACATCCAAAGGAGAGAGAAACTAAAGGGGGTGACGAGAAGCTAAGAAAAGATTCGGAAGTTTAAAAAGAGTCTGTGCTAGAGGGTTCTCATTAGACCTCGGCCAAGAAAAAGGAGAGCACCTTTTATAACAACGACTACTTCATACTTACCTGAGATTTGTAAAGACATGGCGTTGACGTTGTTGTTAATGAGTGGTTCCGACTCACGGTGTGCAACAGCAGGACACAAGACGTGGTCCTGTGCGCCACCCGGTCTGCGTCCATTGCTGAGCCACTGTCAGTCCATGTCATCGAGGGTCTTCCTGCTTTTCACTGCCCCTCCATTTTACCAAGAATCATGCCCTTTTACAGGGACTGGTCTCACCTGATAACACATCCAACATATTGAGATGAAGTCTGACCATCCTGGCTTCTAAGGAGCATTCTGGCTGTACGCTTCCAAGATAGATTTGTTTGTTTTTTTGGCAGTCCATAGTACTTTCCATCTTCTTCACCAGCACCATCATCTAAGTGCATTGATTCTTTTTCCATCTTCCTGATCCAAGGTTTGACTTCTATATATATATGAGGCAACCGAAATACCATGGCTTGGATCAAGCACACCTTAGTCCTCAAAAGAACATCCTTGCTTTTCAGTACTTTAAAGAGGTCTTG